GAGTTAGGTGAAGATGCCCAACCCTTTAATGTGCTTAATTTACTAAACATACAACAATAGTTTAGTTATATATTATAGACTTATAGAAAGAGACCTTCTAAAAACGTTAAAATGTATGACTGGCATGCAAAACCTTAAATTAGAGTGAATAAATGAAGACTCGTCACACCACTTCTGAAAGGTTGCCGACCCCTGAGCTAGAAGAAGTCATTGGAGAATTAAGCCACATCTACACCATTGAATCAGTAGGGTGCAGTGCTATGAACAGCAATGAGGCAGTCTCCATACTACCTTTCATTTTGGATACATTTCTATCTGGTGTCCACCACTGCAGCTGCACTGTCCTCTGTGTCTCTATTACACAGTTCCCAGCTCAGCTCCCTGCAGTTTGTGGGTTTAGAGCTCAAGGGATTGTGAGAGAAGAGGTAAAACGCACACAACTCCCTAAGAAGCTCAACTATTTTCATAGCATTTTCTCAGGACCAGGATGAATGGTCAGAGTTTGATCTTTGTTCAGTCAGACAATTTTCTCCTGGCACGCCTAGTAAAGTAACAGCCAAGTGCCCCAGAAGGCCCAGGAGAGGTGATGGAAGGTGTATGTAGCTACAGACAGTCAGAGAATGAGCCCAGCAACAGATGGAATTCATCCGCAAAGTTCAGCTTCCCTGATTCTGTGCATCACTTCACAGTGAAGTTAGCCAGGTGACAGGCTGCTTTTGGGTCAGAACTACAGGCACCGGATGTTAGCCAGGTGACAGGCTGCTTTTGGGTCAGAACTACAGGCACTGTAGTGATTTGGGGCGGTCTATCAACAATGGCTGTAGAACTTAAACTTGCAGCAACAGACCTGCTGAATGGAAGTTCCTTTCCCCACAGAAAAGGGTGGAGATTGCCCTGAGGAAGCTGGTTACCCCAGAGAGCTATTGATTGGTTGCGCATTAGTATGGGGTTAGGAAATCCACAGTAGGTACTGTTGTGATGGAGGTTTGCAGAACAATATATTAAGTGCTGAAGGGGTGTGTGATCAAGATGGCAAATGATCCAGAGATCATTGAGAATTTTGGATAAGTGGGCTGCTTACCTATGCAGGAGCTATAGATAGAAACCTAGTGCCCTTTCTGTGCATCCAGCAATTCATTAAGCCCAAGAGCATATTAACAGAAACGGATGCCACTCTGTGGTAGTGCAACCCTTGCTGGATCATCATGATTATTTCTTTATGTTCACCATGCATGATGCCAGAATATCTAGTTACTCTGGGATTTTCAGAAAAGAATACTGGCGCCCAGTCTTCCCACCCCACAACATAGAGGCTGAGTGTGCTGCCCCTGCAGCCCGTTTGTTCAGCCTTGTCCAGTCCAGAATGTAAGGATCACATGCAGAGAGTCACTGTCAAGAGGCCACCAGATGAACTCCACAGGAGGTGAAGGGAAGAAAGTGAGTAAAATGACATTTTTTTACACAGCAACAAATTTTAAAAAGTCTAATGAGTAAAACAAAGTAAAACAGAGCTTCACTTCAGATTATGTTATTGGGCCATACAATACACTGTGATTTATATTGAAGTCAGTGCATTACAGATCCCCTTAAGGGCAAAAGTTATGGAGCAGGTAAAGGACCAGGCAGGTTTTAGCAGAAAGAGGGTTAAAAACCCATCCCAAAACAGTGAACTGTCCTGCTTTCTACCAACAGAGATAAGTGAATCTGCAAGTGCTTCTCAAAGGAAGGCTGATGAGCCTCATTGACAGTGGGCAACTTCTTGTGGATGGGCTGAGTATCTAAACCTGCAGGCATGGAGCTAGGGCAGAGTGTGATCTAGGTGGCTTGTTGGCTCTTGATTTGTATGACAGTGGAAGTGAGGCTTTAATCTGAGGCAGTGTCAATGGCTGTGCCAAGCCTTCTGTTTAATATTTTGTAGGAGAGCAGAAATTTTCTATTCTTCTATAATAAACCTCACCCACGCAGGTGCTTTAACTCAACTCAAGCATGCAGAATCCCTTGCCTGTTTTACCGCTGTTCTGAACAGCTTGTCACAAACAACACCAAAGATACAGAAGGTGTACAGTTTCCTCTAAAAATATCTACTGACTTTGGGATTTTAGCCTTCTGTATGCAGAGCACCTTACCTCTTTCCTCAGACAGTTTTGATGACAGTGAGAAACTGATTGTGACAGGTAAGTGGGTATCATGTTGCATAACAGGAGCTAAACAAGAGGAAAAAGGAAACAGAGTGCTTGTAAACATGCTCTGTAAACACCCCTGGGGCAAGCCAATTTCTTAAAAAAGATTTTCTCTTTTAAGCAGAAAGACTGCAATTGCATACAAAGAGCTGAACAAGACTTGTCCAAGACCAATGGCTCGGCACTAATTATTGTGATACTGATGAACTTTCTTGGCCCAATATTTCATTGCTGTTTCACTCACCTTGAAATGGGAAACAGTAAGTGCTTTGATAAATGGTTTGAAACATTGCCTAGTTTCGCTGTAGCTGTTACACTAAGTGTTTGTACCTCTAACTTTAGCTGCAAGGCTATTTCGCAATGTTCTAAAGCAAGACTTCTCAGTGAGTCACAACACATCCCTGCACAGCCAACAGGCACACTAGCCTAACAGGAAGAATTTTCCTGTTTCTAGCGGCTCCAGTGTGGCCACCTTCTCTAACCTAAATATTAGAGTGAAACACAGTTGCACATTCTACTTGCCTTTGTTTCCTAGAGGCTTATTTGGTGCCATTTCAGGATTCCTTTTTTCCTTCGCACAATCTGCAGGTAAAACACTCTTCTTGCGCCGACTTTTTTCACATTGAGTCATTTCATGATCCGTATATTCAGACCCCGATGCCATCTTCTCACACTCTTCTGATGCTTGGCTTTTCCCTGATCGTATGCTTTTGTACCTTAGGGACTGATGGTGCCTTTTACTGTAATCAGCACCTTCAGTGAGCTCCTTCCAGCTGTAGGTCAGGAGATTTACAATTCCCTGAGGGAAAATAATGTCATAGCTAGAAAAGAGCTGCAATATTTCTCCAAGTTCATGTAAGATGGTGGGAGCCATGTATTTATATTCATCCAACAGGCTCGGCTGTATTTCTTCATCTGCTGGAAGGACTGGAGGCATTTGAGAGAGCTTTGAGCTGGGAACTTCACTGCTAGTTTTGAGTAGGGAAGAGCTAGATATCTGAGGCAGAAATGGATATTTCTCTCTTCTTGCGGTATCATCTTTTAAGAAACTGTCTTCATTTCCTTCCACATGTTCTGCTGTACATCCAGGATTCCTGCATTTGACCAGGCTGGGGAAAAGATATTATACCTTTTAAGTAACAATTATTTTTATTAACTAATATAACCAGGGAGTCTATACAGTAGAAAGATGTCCACCTTGCAGTCAACATTCCTGCCTACAGTCTCAGCAGACAGGCCAATGATTGAATGGATATGGATCCTGCGCTACTTTCTCACCCCCAGAAGTGGTGCTTCTAGGTCAAGCTGAAACATTGACAAGGTTGTATGGTGAAACTTAACACAGCTATAGCAGCGGCTGGAAGACTTTCTATGGACTTCAGTATGCTTTGGATCACTTAAAATAAATTCACTTATAATAACTATGCCTGCCCCTATTAATAATGACATAACTTTATTTTGTCAAACACTCATTGTTTTCATAAACAATTTCCTCTCTCATAAATAAAATTAATATCAAATAAGTTAAAGGTTCTGCTTTTTAAGGGTGACTTCCATTAAACTGGGCTTTGGATGTCCAAGGAGGGCTTCGCAAGTTGTAAGGTTTTGTATATACACTTCATTGTTTGTTTTTTTCACTTTAGAAACATGAGATATAACAAAACTGATTTTCCCTGGTTGTGGGAGGTATTAGAGCATACTTGTTTTGAGCTCTCACACCTTAGTTGAAGGGGTGGAGGTGTTCAATCTTTAAAAATATGTCTTTTATTCAATATAGATATTAATAAAGAAGGTTTTAAACCCTAGTCCTGCAAATACTTATGAAGGTGCTTAATTTTAAGCACGATTAGTTTCAATGGGAATGTCTCACATACTTAAAGCTAGGCATGAGCATAGGTGATTGCTCAAGGCCTTAAACAATCTGGGTAAAATTTTCAGAAATACCAAAGTGATTTTGGAACCTGAATCCTGTTTTCAAAAATGACTTAGGTGCTGAAGAGCTTCAGTCCCCCTGAAAGCAAATAGGCTTCTCAGTCACTTTGGTGTTTCTGAAAAATGTATCCTCTGACTCAAAATCTCTTTCCCTCTCCGTTGCTCAACTTTTACTCTCTTGACTCCTGTGATGTCATCATTTCACTAGTTCTCTATTCACCATAGAGTCTTCCAGGACCGACAAAACCTGAATTTCCAATGCAAAACCCAGTAAGTCCTCTCCCACCCCTGTCTTTTTGAAATGACCATCCCTGTCCATCCTTTTGTAGCTTTATATTTAATAAAGAAGTAATAGCTTTTTAAAAAGACATACGACCATTTTATTTCTTTCCAATTCACCTTTAACTCTTGCAACCTTAGTGCTTGTAGCCAGTAATTCCATATGGAATGCCATAGGGTTAATAGCCACTACTGAGCTCTGTAGCAAGACAGCAGAAATTCATGGAAGCATATTCAAAAAGAATTTCATAAATCATTTACAAGGTATAAAGTGACTTGTAAAGGTGCACTAAACTAATAAGGAGCTCATTAGCATGCCAATGCTGGAGATTTCCCATTAATTTGTGCCAACTAATAGGGTTCTCCAGGCAGGTGTGTCCATCTCTCTGCAGGAAAAATATCAGTTTTAAAAATCAAAACAAATATTTATGTGAAGCACCTTGCCTAAAGAATCCACCAGCAAAAACTAATTCACATCTTTCAAAATATTCACCCCTCTCCCTTGAGGTCATGAGTAGTCAGAGCAGAAAACTGACCCCTGGTAGAGAATCACTGCTCTGAACTATCCATCATTCCACGCTACTTCTCAATGTCATTGTAAGCTCCATAGGGCAGGAATATTTTCATCATTATTATTATCTGCTATTTGAATTATGGTAGTGCCTGAAGATCCCAACCAAGACTGTGGCCACTTTCTGCTAGCTACTGTGCAAACCTGTAGTAAGAAACAATCTCTTCCCTGAAGAGCTTGCAATAATCATACAGTGTGTTTCTCTGGGGTACTTAGGAAAACATGTTTGCTATATTTGCAGAGCTGAATTGTAACCATTAAAGATTTTAGGTGCAAAGTCATTTTCTTTTTACTTTAAATACATTTTAGGTTATCATTGGCCATTACTGGCAGTTTTCTTAGATTTTTTTTAAGTTATAAACAATTCATCATATTGAAACAAACTCAAAGGGAGATTTTTCAAAAGCACAAATGGGAGTCCAGGGAAGTTGGGCGTTTTACACCCATTTCTCCCTTTGAACATTTTCTTCTCAACTACTGATTGGTGAAAACTGAATCACATGTATTGCCACCGGCATCATATGAACTCCCTTACCTGGGAATAAAGCCCGGGGGCTGAGAATTTGTGGTGAGTGAATTGAAATCAGTGGGTGGTTCTTCTGGTATTTTCTTGCCCCGCTCTTTTGTTCTAGATTTCAGCTAAAACAAAATATATATTTGAGATTAAACATGTAAATGCTGGGGGGAAAAGAAACAATAATGTGCTAAAGATGAAAGAAAATACCTGGTCAAAGAAATATATGGGTCCTGGCTCCAGGGTTATAGGCAGTGGCATTTTCTCCCTTTATTCCTAGAAGGATGGGAACATGGTTATGCCAACAGAACGAGGGAATGAAAAGTGTTAGTATTTTCTGCAATATAATTAAGGTAACATTATTGTTTTCATTGCAAGACCCTGAAAATCTTCTCCAGTTAACATACAAACCACCGCCATAGGAACAGCAACAAAATGTTGCATAATTAATTTTTAAAATGTTTTAGCTGTGTTTAAAATTATATGAAGTTCAAAAAAATTCAGTTTATCAATTTTTGACACACTCGTGTTTGTACTGCTCCAGACTAGCTTCAGCGACTTCTTGTGGCGTATTATCTGTAATGACTTTCTTTGGTTTATTATGTGGATAAAAATGTAAAAATGGCAGAAATTCTCATTTTGAGATGTGACTATCAATCTGTGCATACACAAACTTCACCAAATAGGGCCTTTATTATGCCTTTTTCACAGATATATAACAAGCATCTTAAATATGTATTCAAGAAATATTGTTTCAAGTCTAAGGCCTTGATCCTGGAAGGAGCTCCATACAGATGGATGCCTGCAGCCATACAAAGTCAATGGGTCTCCTCTTGGAGGCAGGGGTCTGACTGCACGGAGCACCTTATTGGAGCAGGGCCTAAAACATGTTTGTGTGGAGATGCAGATATACTGAAATAGCTATTTATCAAGTAAACAATCTGGGAATTTTAAAAGTGTAGATCTATACAATAGAATAGAATTATTTTTTCAGTTATGTATCAGGGGGTAGCCGTGTTAGTCTGTATCTACAAAAACAACAAGGAGTCTGGTGGCACCTTAAAGACTAACAGATTTATTTGGGCATAAGCTTTCGTGAGTAAAAACCTCACTTCTTCGGATGCATCCGAAGAAG